ACGTTCGTGTGAGAACAGCCCAAACGTGCAGTGACGAATGAGCAGCGCAGCGTGCCACGTTGTCACACAGCTTTAGGCCCAAGATGCAGAGGAGACGTAGCCCAGGTTAGCCAGGAGTCGGGAAATCAAACACACGAGTGTCTTGAGAGTCACAGCTCCTTACATGCAAAAGCATTAGCCTCCAACTGTGCAATACAGAAACGATTTTCCATTCTCCCCCCCTCCCTTACGTAAGCCTGAGGGATCCAGAGCCGTTTGCAGTTGCTAACGTTGAAGTTGTATGGTTTTCATTTGAATAATTAATAAAGCTCAAATGAGACATCAGTGACTATGGAGGCTTAAGAGAGACTTTCTGTTCTGCAGCTGCTGAATCTTGGAAGAGTGGGATCAATACACATGTTTTGTAGTGCCTTTCCTGTTGTACTTAAGAAGAATTAATCTTTTAAAATTATGTCAGTGTTTAGAAGTGCAACTAGCAGGTGGTTCTGTGGAGGGGCTGACGGACCTGCAGGACAGGCCTCCTTCCCTCCCATCCCACGCTGCTGTTGGATAACCCCGTCCCTGATGCATCATCCCACCCATCACAGTGGCCTTTGAACTGTCTCTCCCTGTCCTGAGAGCAACACGGTTTCGATGTGAGCCCTGGTCTGACTGCGAGACCTGACATTCTGCTCCCAACGACAGAGAGTGTGAAAGAGAAATCAGAGTTGTATTCAAATCCTGGCTCCTGCTGACAAAAGCTGGGGGGAGAAAAAAAAATCAATGCACAATGTGGCATCCCTCTGTATCCTTAAATCACCCCAGGGCACTGAGGTTATTTTGAGACTAGAAGTCTCAAAATGAAAGTGCTGGGGGAATCAAGGCATGAGTCTGGTAGCAGTCACTGAGAAACACATCTGGACTCCTAAGTCCCATCTCTGCAGGCCCTTGCATGGTGCCTTCATGTTGAGAAAGGAGGCCATGCAGTCCAGCATCGCCATCGGCTGGGAAACCACCTACTGTCCTCTGGGCCACCTCTGCACTGAAGAAGGGAACTGTGCAGCCTGAAGCTTAGGCAGTCAATAGCACATTGCAGATTCCCCTACAAGAGAAACCCACAGGACCAGCCTCATCCTCCGCCCAGGCCAGGGGAACAGCAGAGCCCTCGGGTGTAGTATCAAAATGTAAAATCGGCAGGAATTTCCACCAAGGACCTGCATCCAGCTAGGGAGAAAAATGCTGCTAGAAGGATAGCACCTGTGACTTTGGGATCTCCAGTCCAGGAACTGTGGTGGAGGTCCTCAGATGCTTGCCTTACATAGTGGTAGTGGTGTGTGTGCCCAAGGAGTGGTGCGGTCTTGGGCACAGCAGCCTTCTCTAGTGCCATTCCTGGATCTCCCGCCTAAACCCAAAGAAGTAGCTGGATTTTTTCTTCCTCTGTTATTCATTTGAATCTCTATGTATTTTCTAATTGCCTGATTGGTCTGATACACTGTGACAAAAATTAAGCATTGAAGACTTTTTTTTTTCCTCCTTTGTGCTCTCCCTCATTCTCAGAAAAGGAAAGATAAGAAATAGAGCAAAGGAGGGGAAATAAAAAAAAATTTCTATTGATGCTTTGTTGAAAACCTAAGAAGTTTTCCGTGGGAAATGGGTTGGGAGGAACATTTTTCCACCATCTCTAGTGGAAAGAGCTGATTTGCAACCTAGATGCAAGTCCCAGACTGCAGAAGTCCCAGTGGGAAGAGAGCAATGGTAGCCACAGCACTCACTGTCCCAAACCCCTGGATGAGGGTATCTCTGATCAGTTTTTTTTTTCAGACAACCACGGTGAGGAGGTTCAGCCCCAGCCCCGTGAACCTCACGGCTTCTGATATTCATAATTAATTCTGGACTGACGTGAGAGTGAGAGTAATGATCAGCAGTTTGGTCCAAAGGAGCCCTGTCAGCTGAGCTGGTTTTAATGCCAGGCCAAAGAGCGAGCAAAAAGAGACGAACACAAAAATAAGCGCTTAGCTCTGGTGTAACCCTTTAATTGGGTAAGGTCTAGGCTCTGCCCCAAGTAGTTCATCCTGGTTATTTACAAAAGGATTGTAATCGGCATGCAAGGCAAGCAGCAGGTAGTAACGAATTCTACTACAGTGCTGCCAGCGTTGTATCTATCTGCCTTACTTTATTTAAAAGCATATATGTATTTTTACATTCTCATACTATTTGTGCTTAGAGGTAGGGAAAAGTCTATCAATGGACTGCATGGGTATACGCCAGATAGATTTTTCAAAAGGTTATGTGTCAGCGGAGCCACTTGCGTTTATTCGTGGAAGTCAATCCATGCTGCTCTAAGTTCATGCATTTTGTTCAATGAGAAATACTGTTGAGCTTCAGGTTTCCAGAACTGTGTGCACCAGTAACGTTTCACAGTATAAGTACTTGCAAATAAAGCTGTTATAATCCATACGTGGTGCATATACATGAACGTGAGGAGGGATGTATTTATCTGGCAAGCCCTTTCCTCCACGCTGAGGACAAAGCCAGGCTGTGGAGCATTTTCTTCTGCCTGTCCCCATGGCCCCAGTGTTGAATCTATCAACACTGAGGCAAATCCTAATAAATCTGATTCGGTCTGCTTGCAAGATTGCTTAGGCGCAGGCTCAGCTGTTCCGTGGCATCAGACAGCTGTGCCCCCTCTCATGTTAAATGGCAGAAACATCTGCTTTTTATTTCCAAGATGGAACTTACATTTATTGCTGAAGTAGTTTACGATTACAGAAATGAATTAAGAATGAATTAATGAATTAAGTGAAGTTTCACGAGTTCCTTGGGCCACTTCGTCTGCTCCTGTAACAGATATCTGATCTTGCATTGTAGGATGAGAAGAATCAAATGATGACCACAAATGTGTGGGTGAAGCAGGTGGGTACACCAAAATATGTGCTTTTCCCTGCTCCTTTTCAGTTTTGCAATCCCAACTCCCTCGGCTTTGCAATTGCCTTGTTTTTGGCAGGAGTGGCATGACTACAAGCTGCGCTGGGACCCCCAAGAATACGAAAATGTCACATCCATCCGAATCCCCTCAGAGCTCATCTGGAGGCCGGATATTGTTCTCTACAACAAGTGAGTGTGAGCTTGGTAACTGGAAGGCAAACCTAGTCCTGGCACATTTGCTCAGTGTATGGCATCAAGGATATTGTTGCAACTGTCTCTCCGTATTGTATTTGTTATCTTTGGTCGAAGTCTCTGTAGGTTCTTGCAATACCTGTTCCAGACATGCCTTAAATGACACCACTGTATTCTTCACAAGGGTTTGGTTCTCCTGCTGATCCTTCCTCTGGACTGCAAATTATGCGGGTGATGTCAGGTATTGCTTTGTTTTCGCATGTTGGAGACATAACTAAGTTGGATTTGAGCTTTCAGCCCTCCTCTAATTCTTTACCGTCAGTTGGAAAAGCTGCTTTCGAAGGATGGGAATAAATAAGGAAAATATGCTGAAAAATATCAGACTTGCCATGTCTCCAAATGCAGACTAAGGCAAACTAATTTTTTGGTCTTCACTCGTACTAAGCTATGTTCTATGTTTTACTCAGCCTCTCATCCCTGATCAATAGCGTTTCCTTAGAGCAGAGCATTTCAGCACCTCGTGTGTTAGCAGCAGTGAGGGCAGGCTCTTGATACTGGTATTATAAACTCTCTGCAGCTGCTAGGGCAAAGGGGTGCTTGTAGGTTGTTTTTCAAGTCAGCGCAACACAATTTTGGGATTATTTCCAAATAGGTATTTGTACCTGAGTCCCAAATGCTTGAAATCTGTCTCCCACAAGGATACTTCATAGGGAGCAGATGGTTGTTCCCTTCCTTTCCTTTGGGGCCTGTGGGTATTCTTGAAAAGGGTGTCTGCATCCCAAGACTACTTTTTTTTTTCTGTTTTTTTTTTTTCCTTCGACTTTACTTATCACATCAGAACTCTGCAGTCTCCTTGGATGCTAGAAAGCCCCAGCCTCCCTCCCCAGCACAGGCTCCAGAGAAAACACTTGTTGCAAGCATCAAACAAAAATGTCTTTGCATGTGGCTAACACTCAAAGAAAACACTCACAACAGAAGGCAGACCCATTTCCAGTGAACAGTTTCCTGGTTCTAGTTTGATATGATTTTGCTTTTATTTTCCTAAAAAATGGCTGAGGGAGAAATCTGTCCAGGGGATTGCGAGCTTTGGAGACTACTGAAATTGTTATCTTTTCCAATGGCTTATCTCTGATCCTCAGTGGTGGGGAGTGATTGCAAACCTCTTGGAAATCACTGGGCCCTCACATAGCACCTCTGACAGATTAGGCCAATAGAAATGATTAATTTATAGGCACGTGGGCCTTCCTACCCTACAGGAACATACTCTGAGCACAAGTATTATATGACAAGTGCCTCACATTGCAGCCAAGAAAGGCGCTCGCAGCTTCCCCTGGAGAAATTGAATGTGCCCGTCTTCTGTGTGGAGAAATCATTGCTTAATTAATGACAAGGATAAAGATTATCACTTTAGGAGCTTCTGGAGGCTGCTGAAGTAGACTGTAGTGCCAAAGGAAATAATCAAAGTGCTATGCAAATCTCCATGCTCTATAGGGCCCTCATAGTTCAAGCCACTCAGCTGCTGCTGCTGGTGCACAAGGGCCTGAAGTGTTGGCCTTGCATCTACCCCTCCTTGGTTCACCATGCTCTCCTCGGGTGACTGAGCATGGGCCACGAAAGCAGGGCCCTAGTGCTAAAGGAGAAGGCCTCGGCCGCTCTGCTGCTGTGCTCTGGACCTCCTAGCGCCCTAGCTATCTAAATCCAAGCTGTGACTCTCCCTTTCTCCATATTAATCATCAATAACCATATATTCTGCTGTTGGTTGCCATGAGTCTATCATGCATTTTTAATTGGTTACTCTAACCATGAATTAAACATGTATGTAAGCACCAACCATTAGCTAGTAATGGTTTTTCATTACTTCTATACCTCTTTAATACTACATTTGCCCATGCTCTTTCATACAGTGTCAAATATACCTTGTGTAGACTGTTTTCTGTCTCAGGATGTACAATCAGCATCCTGCACTTTGGTCTTCTGTCTAACTTATCAGCCACGCCTCAAGCTGCAGTCATTATTTTAGCTGCACTGCTCCAGCGATCAAGTTTCATATTTTGGAGGGGTTGCAGGGCATGGCATGGCGGGCACAATGCATGCGAGGCAAGGCCTGCAGCCACCGCATAGCGTGAAGACACTGAGGTGGGACTCTTCTGTCTGGCAGCTCAGTGACTGTGCAACCACACCATGTTTGTCTTTGTAGGCGTCTCAGCTAGAAATGCCTAAGGAACGCTTTGCAAAAAGCTGGTGCATAGTCCTGGGTGTTGCTACCAAGGATCTCCTCTCATGTTGTTATGTATGGATATACATACATATGTGTATATATATATATATCTATATACACACACTATATATATATACACACACACACTCTCTCTCTCTATATATGTATATGGATATGTATGTATAGTTTACAGGGAATTTAAAGTACATGCACATAATTCCAGGCCTCTAACAGCAACGAGATTGTGTGCAAAGACCTTGGTGCAAGAGAGAGGGTGGCCGCACTGGCCATTTGCACTGTTCAGGCTTTTCACCGTCACTTATTTACTGCTTACGAGGTGCACTGGCAGAATTATGATACTTCTGTTTGGGATGCTATGCTTTGGAAAAATGAGCTTCTGCCTAGGAGATTAAGCTAATGCCTCTCCTGTTTTCATCTTGGGGAATGTTTAGAAATGGTAAAATTTAAATTGATTTGAGATTTGAATCTTTAAGGAAACCTAACCCCTTATGAACTATTCTCATATCTAAACTCATTATTGTCAAAAACTTCCATTTATTCACTCTAGAGGCCCAAATTAAATCAGTAAACTTGGCTGGTTTGGCCTAGAGAGTATTTGTAGTTGTCAACATTCATAAGGAAACTAAAACCAAATTAATATCCTGTGGGGAAATTAATATGCCATTGAGTTTTCAGGCTTGATGAGATAAGTTCCAAGACTCTGTAAATAGTTCCTACTAGATGTGACAAAACATATGTATAACAGAGGAATACGAGTTAATAATGAAATGACAGAGCCTCTCTTTTTCTCTTTCTTTGCCAAGGAGGCCAGCTGTTCTGTATCTGAGGTTGTAAAGGCTCTACAGACATGATCAAATCATTTATAAATGAATTATCTAATCGTCTACATTGGCTTCTTTTCCCATTCATGAATGGACTTTAAGCACATTTCATGTTTTTCTGGGTGTAGTTAAAGGAAAATTTGAAATGTGAGCTTTGCTGATTTGTTCTCGACTGGATAGTCACGATAGCATTGGAGCATTTCCCTTCTCTAGCCTAGTGATTGTAATACCTGGGAAGAAGCTTTTGGGAATATTCAGACTTCAGAATTTATTTTTTCTCAATATTTTCTGGTGTTAGCTGTTTCAGACAGAAATTCCCGCTTTAGCCTTCACGGTCACAAAAAATAAATAAAAGGCAAGATTGTACATGAAGAGCATTCAAACACAAGTTTCTGTAATTAGGAGGAGGAAATATCTTGAGGAGTTCACCCAGTGGTAATACAGACACAAAGGACTGCTGGACTGGGTTAGAAGATCAGCTGGTAGGCGGCTTTTGAAAATCGTGAGAAAGTGGATCATTTTTTCAAACTATACTGTAGTGACTTGTTCTTTTGAACTATACTACCGTGTTTGCAGCCAGTGAGGCTTATGGAAAGAACGACACCGGTTTCCTGACTCATCCCAAAGCTATTTGGAAAAGAAACATCAGAAAATGCCCTAGTATAACCTTAAAAGAATTGGAAACATTCTTACATTTTTCTTTGTGTTTACTGACTCTTCCCAACAGACCATATCTTGTCATTTTGTACTAGGTTGTGCTTATAAAGGACCCATAACTGCTACTTTGCACTTAAGCTTTCCTGATTCCTCTGGGAATTTAGATGACTATGCTTTTAGAGACAAATTTTATTTCTAGAGGTCCTTGAGATTTGCCCCCAAGCTCTTTCCAGAAATACAGGAACTGAAAGAAGGAAATCTGTAAGAGGGTTCTCTCCCATGGGCTGTTGCTGAGTGAGCATCCAAGGCCTTCTGCTACCTTTTTTTCTCAGGACAGAGCTAGAGATTTGTCTCCAAAGTGCTGATGAGAATTCTTGGCAAAGGGAGGCGTCAAAGCAAAATGCACAAACCGAGCCCTGCTCAGAGCAATCTGATGAAATAAGCATAGGATTCTCATTGTAGCACCGCTGTTTCTAAGACAGAAGCTCATTTTACTGAAGAATGATAGGAATTTCCATTACCAATGATTTAAAAACATCTGAAGCAAGCAAAACTGAGATGGGGCCTACAGAAGTACACATCTGTACACAAATACATATCTCCACATAGACCTCTACATCTACGTACCTAAGATGCAGCTGGACTCATCCATCTTGTACCCAAGGAGCCAAGATGTTGGAGATATTCAAAACCTGACTGGACAAGGTCCTGAGCAACCTGCTATAGTTGACCCTGCTTTGGACTCGACAATCTCCAAAGGTCCCTTCCAACCTCAACTATTCTGTGATTCTGTGAATTCGCAGTGACCGTTTTGGCAGCACAAAATAATTGCTGAACAAAGAATTCTGTAATTTGTCTTTGGAGAATGTCTTAATCGGAATGTCACAGCCGCATCCAATGTTTACCAGTTTGTTTGAAAAGATCTTGTGCCCTGTTCTGTATTGGTTAGTGCTGTTGGATGAAAAATGCTTTAAATGAGGGACATTTTAGCTATATCTATATATGCATATAGCTAATTTTAAGACTTTTAAAGCTGTGCTTGGATTAAAATTGTATAATCAGAAATTAAAATAAATGTGTGCCTCATTTACATGCATTCTGAACATATTTAATTTTGTGAGATGATGTATTTCCCAACTGCAGGGGAAATAGAAACTGGCAAAAAAATCTCCATCAGCAAGCTTTTTAATGAAGCACAGTTGACGTCTGCCAGTAAAACAATGCTGTTCTTGAACCCTTAGACGCTCAGAAGTTCTTAGAAGAAGAGACTTTATTCTCAAAACAAGGAATCAAAGGCTGCAGAATTATTTCCATCAGAAAAGGAACAAGCAACTGCCTTCTCGCTTTATTGGTGTGCAAATTTGACATGAAAATATAAGAGCTCTGGCACTTTATTACTGACAGATATTTAAAGCTGTCAGGTCACAGGAATCAGGAGAACCTCACTATCTTAATTCTCCAGAGTTCTTGCTGTGATGTTTACCTTTCACCAGCTCATTCTTCCAAATGGTTTTTCATGACAACTGTCATAACATAGTGGTCTAGATTGAATTAGATGAAAATGTGTTACTGCTATAAAGGAATGACTACAAAACAGATTTTCCCTGTCCCACTATATCAGATTTCCCACCCTCCTGTCTAAGGAAATATTCACAATATACAATCAGAGCTGCTCGTGTAACTTGGCTGAGAATGGGTTTCCCACAACAAGGCCTTCTGCAAGGAAATAGGGTTTCCCCAGGCTTGTAACTCCAGGCTTCATTTGCAGTCAGTTGCCGCAACTTTGTCTCTCGGAGGAGATATGGAAAGACTTTGAAAGACCATTAACAGCTGCATGACCTGGTTGGCGCCGTCCTGTGTCAAAATGAACAGGTTCACCCAGAATGAAAGCCTCTCTCTAGGATCACCTCTGCGTTGCCAGCATGCCAGCAAGCACGGCTTCAAATCCAGTAAGCATATGCTTACCGCGTGGGTGGTATGCTGCCTGGGAAATTAGGCACATATACATACATATCTATCTATTTATATATGTATGTATACATACATACATCTGTGTATATATATGTATATGTGTGTGTATATAAATAAGAACAAATGGTGAAGATGATTGTCACTACTACCTTTGCACAGTGTAGCTGGCTGGGATATGAACTATCCACAGCAGCGTGGCTAATTTACCCTGCTTACATATCTCTACTCTGAGCCACAGTGAGAAGTTCAAACATGCCCAGTGAAGCCCATTTACTGGGAATGTCAGTTCTCTACTGATGTGGTTCCCTCAGCAGAAGGAAACTCAGAGGCATGGCTCTCCAAAGAGTTCAGTTTCCCAGATTTCCCCTGCTTTTTCCAACCGGCATTTTTTGGACATTCACCCAGGATGAAAAATTTGCAGCTGTATCCAAATGTCATTCACATCTTAAGGCTGCTCAGACCAGGGACTTTGGTTCAGGGTCTGTCTGAAGATACCAAAACTCTGTCTGCAAATACAAAGCACAGGGTTAGGAGAGAGAGAATGTTTAAAGTTTCGGAGAATCATTACACAGAGAGGCTACATCCCTAAGGATCTGGCTCACTTTCAAGTGAAGGGATAATTTTGTGATTTGAACATCCAGCTTCTTTCACGATGATTAGCTGAACAAGATGTGCTTGTGCGCACCTGTATGCTTCAGTATTGCCTCTCTGTGTAAACTAATGCAGGCTGCAGATCCTCCAAAAGCTGCCCGGAGGATGGACATTGTTGCAGAGGTGCTTGTGGACTTGGCCCCAGACTTGGCGTTTAAACAAATGTTGGAGTGCTCACATGCTCCCCTCAGTGAGAGCAGATGAGAAATAGGGCTTCTTGATGGTATAGCTGTGTAGGGCACTAATTACTTACTCTGCTAATTGACTCTATTAATGAGCTAATTTTTTTCTGTTGCTCCACACACCGGGGCAAGTGGCAGGTTAAACATTTAATTTGTACTAGTAGAGCAATGGATGTACGAGAGGAACGGAGCTGTGGCTGGGGCTGCAGAGGGAGATGAAGGACAGGGCTGTCTCAGGGTCAGGGCATCCCAATGCCAGTACAAGGGCTCAGATTTTCTCAGTCTCCCTCCCTTTTCCTACGATATTATAGGTCAAGTACAGCATTACCCCATTGCCTTTCTTCCCTCACATCCCCAGTGCTCCTGCCATTCCTATCGCCAAGTTTGATCTCCTTCACTTACATCCCAGTCCCCATGACAAGCTGGAAACAGCCTGTGGTGGGTACATGGTATGGTACTGCAGGAAATCAGTGCATTTTTCCCATGCTGCCCGGCTGCAAAAATCAGATCCAAACACAAATGGCACTGTTTATGGAATAGCTTTTTCACTGCCTGGGAAATGGTCTGATAAATGGCAAATTTGCTGATATAAAATGCTGGATTGTTATATATTTATCTTATATCAGCACAGAGAGCCCAACTGGGATAGTCCCTGTAAGAATACACCGTAAAAGACAGTTCTCTCCCAGAGTGGGAAATCAACAGCTTACCTTTTGTTATTCCTGTTAATAGGAGTTCTTATTGCTTTCTGTGCAACAGACTGAAAGATTACCCAACATTGTTTTATTTATAGCAGGTGTCACAATTGATTCTGCATAGCCCACAGCCACACTACTTGATAGTGTATCCTCCCACCTCTCTAAGGCAATGAAAACTCAACCCTTGCCAGGGTGTTTATGGGAGAGCTTCAAGGAATATTTATGCATATGCACCTCAGGGGACTGACTACTTGTGCAAGGTGAGGCTTGACATTTGCAGGCAAATCCAGTGCTTGCATAGGCCACCAGATTTCAAAACACTACTGGCTAGTGTGGATGGATACAGTGCTTGTGCATGATGTACCTCTCACTTCTGCCAAGTACAAAGGCATGTCAGAAAATGCCCTAAGTGTATTTTTTGGAAGCCAGGCACTATATATCCTATTTCTTTAGTAAGAGTTAAGAAGTCCCAGAAAAGTCTAAAGATAGACTATTGTCACAGCTGTCATATTTAAGGTCTTTCTGCATATGTGATGGAATAGTTTTCTTCACCTCTTAGCCTGGAAAGGCAGGCTGCATTGCTGTGTGTCCTAGAAGACCTCTCTTGAGGTTCCTCTGATCTCAACAGATGGTGTCCCATCTCAGAGAATGATGTGCAGATCAGCATTGTGGGGTATTACCCTTAGAGTCGAACTCTGTCACCATCTCATTCAAGTGGCACACAGATGTGGCAGGTGTATGCACTGAGGAGGTTTTCCAGATGTACACATGCTCTGCCTGCCTAGGTGGGAGAAGATTTGTTAAATGTACTTGTTAAATGTAATCCCTAACTTTCAAGCTTTGAAGGCACCATTTCCTTTTCTCATCTTATATCTATCTCTCCCAGTGCTGATGGTGACTTTGCAGTCACCCACCTGACCAAGGCCCACCTCTTCTACGACGGGAGAATTAAATGGATGCCACCTGCTATCTATAAAAGCTCCTGCAGTATCGATGTTACCTTCTTCCCCTTTGACCAGCAAAACTGTAAAATGAAGTTTGGCTCCTGGACCTATGACAAAGCCAAGATAGACTTGGTGAGCATGCACAGCCATGTGGACCAGCTTGACTACTGGGAGAGCGGGGAATGGGTTATCATAAATGCAGTGGGCAATTACAACAGCAAGAAATATGAATGCTGCACTGAGATCTACCCCGATATAACTTATTCCTTCATCATCAGGAGGCTGCCCTTGTTCTACACAATCAATCTGATCATCCCCTGCCTGCTTATCTCTTGCTTGACTGTCTTGGTCTTCTACTTGCCCTCTGAGTGTGGAGAGAAGATAACTTTGTGCATCTCAGTGCTGCTGTCACTCACTGTGTTCCTTCTGCTCATCACAGAGATCATCCCTTCAACCTCTTTGGTCATTCCCCTGATTGGAGAGTATCTGCTCTTCACCATGATATTTGTCACCTTGTCTATCATCATTACTGTCTTTGTGCTCAACGTGCACCATCGTTCCCCACGTACCCACACTATGCCTGACTGGGTGAGAAGGATCTTTCTTGACATAGTCCCACGTCTCCTCTTTATGAAACGGCCCTCTGCAGTGAAAGACAATTGTAAGAAGCTCATTGAATCCATGCACAAAATAACCAACACACCAAGGCTTTGGTCCGAGACTGACATGGGACCCAACTTTACTACCTCATCTTCCCCCAGCCCACAGAGTAACGAGCCATCACCTACATCTTCCTTCTGTGCCCATCTAGGGGAGTCAGTCAAGCCCCAACCTGTCTGCAAATCTCCTTCCAGCCAGTATACTGTGCTTCACCCAGAGCCTGTTCACGTATCCAGCTCCTCACCACAGTCCTCGTGCCATCCTCTGAGTGACACCCAGACCACATCCATCTCGAAAGGCAGATCCTTAAGTGCTCAGCAGATGTACAGCCCCAATAAAGCAGAGGAAGGTAGCATCCGCTGTAGGTCCCGAAGCATCCAGTATTGCTACCTGCAGGAGGACTCGTCCCAGACCAACGGTCAATCCAGTGGCTCTCCAGCATCCCAGCGGTGCCACCTAAATGAAGAACAACCCCAGCACAAACCCCATCAGTGCAAATGTAAGTGCAAAAAGAATGAGGCCGCTGGCACATCAGGTCAAGGGGCCAAGACGCACAGCACCAAAGAACAACATCTTCTGTTGATGTCCCCGGCCCTGAAGCTGGCGGTGGAAGGAGTTCAGTATATTGCAGACCACCTGCGAGCAGAAGATGCAGATTTCTCAGTAAGTGTGCTAATTTAGCCTGTTCTCCTTGAGTAAGTCTGCTAAAGGAGACCCACCAAACCTATCGGCTATACAAACTGTATACTTGCTATTGCAGGCTCTGCCACCTCATGACACAGCCTCTGGACCCACTGGTCACTGCAGGCATAGCCACAGTGTTTGCTCTTGGGGTTGTGGTAGGGCTGTGGACCGGGAGGGTAGCATAACCGGACCACGCTCAGGGCTGTGCTGAAGCAATAGGATTCTCCAGGAGAAAATAGGAGTAAAGTTGTTGTCAAAGATGTTAGTAGGACCAGTTGTGAAAAAGAACAGTAATTCCTCCCCATTCCTTTTTCATTTATTTATTAGGGGTGTGTGGGGGGGGGAATTAATTTTTCTGAGCTCAAAACCTGTTAGAAAACAGAAATCCTTTGGCTCTCCAAAGCCTGAGCCTTTGCAAAATGATATCAGTGGGTGCACTTTAACTTTGATTGCTACAACATGGCTCTAACATCTGAGCTTTGGTGGGTTAGCAATTCACAATGCTGCTGGTTGGACACTGGGTCATACCACGGCTCTCAGCTGTGCCTTCGGTTTTCTACAGATGAAAGTATAGAAACAGGATCCTCCCTGGAAGCTCACTGTACTGTCCTGACCTGCCTGAGCTCCTCTGTCTGTCCTATGGCTTCACCAACTGTTAAACATCTCCTGTGAGATGCTGAGATCTGAAAATGCCTCTGACTTTTGTGAGAGCTGTAGGTACTCTGGGCCTTACTGGAGCATCTCTCAGCATTGCTGGGCATAACCCATCCCTAAAGCTATTACTGGGGAATAGAAAGTCTGCCAACTGGCAGCTAAAATTATGAAAGAAAGAGAACCAGAAAGTAGTCATCTCTTGGGAATTTAGCTGACTTTTTCTTTATAGACAAGCCTCAGACAGACAGGGAATTAACATTCTCTGTTTTCTCTTAAGTATCGACTCCGGTTATTGAGTTTGGGAAAGCAAATTCCCCAAAACAGGTTATGGATGTGCATAGCATGTAGTAGCACGGGGACATTTCAGGGTACGTTTGGCTCTGCATAACACGAATCCTTGTTAGGTGGCTCTGTCTCTGGGAAGGTGGGTGGTCAGCCAAATTTCACACTTCATCTGAAGGGGTAAACGTGGCTTCAAGCTCGAGAAGGAAAGAGAGACTCAAAGCACTTCTTCCACTGGAGATGTTGATACACGTACAAGCATCACGTCCTTCTGCACCTCTCATAACTCTTCCCCCATAGCACTAGGGCTACCAGGTGCTACTTAATTATGGCAGTTCTGAAGGAAGGCACAAGATAACCTGATTTCTTGTATTAAAGAAAAGTCGTATCCAGCTTTTCCTACGGGGATAAGTCAGCAAAGGCATTTCTTTTTCAGCTGTGTTTACAGTTTGATTATCTTAAGATTTACAGTCAATGTAAGTCACGGTGCTTTTATGCAAGACTTCTTGGGCATGAACAGTGTCTTTATATATTTGCATTTTTCTCAGCACTGAGCACTTAGCTATACAAGCAGGAACAACAAAAGATTAAGTGCTACTATCCATTTATGCATCCTTTGGTACCACTCTGAGATGCTTGTGTTCTTTAATGTCTTTCACTTCACAACATCCCTTTGAGGGAGCAACTGTTTATTCCTCATTTTGAGGACTGAGAGCCAAAACACAGAGATGAGATGACTTGTTCAATTTCAGAGAACAAATCTGTTGCAGAGAAGGGACGTGAATCCCCATCTTCCTTAGTCAACAGCCCAGTTTGCTTTATTAGGCTAAGGCACTTCACAGGTACTTTAAGACTATGGGAACTAAACTCTACTCTCTTCCACTAGGAGTAATCACAAGTAAACCCATGGAATTGAGTTGTTTTTCACACATTTTCCCATGGTGCAATTGAAAGACTATTGTACCAGGGATGCTTCTCATTTCAACTGATCTTCCTTCTGGTGGCTATCCTCCTTGGGGCTTTCAAACAAGAACTGAGTCAATAAGCATCATGGATTCTTTCTTTGTAATCCATCATTTCAACTTTCCTTAAAATGAAAACAGTCTTCAGAGTCCACCAACTTTCTTCTTACACCCTCCACTGCTCTTCCCTCTTGAAATGAAGCAATTATTTTGGGGAGAAAGCTATTCACAGCCCTAAACATCAAAAGCAGAAGTGGAGCAGTTTTGCTGGCTCTGGCCAGACCCTTGGCGCCAGCCCACTGGCAAAAGCACCCACAAAATACCCAGCAACAAGGGGACGGTGAATGGAGGATGGCCACCGCCAGGACTACCGTTGCTGGATTCCATCAGGCTCCACTGGAACAGTTTGGCCAACCTGTCCTATGAAACTGTCTCATTTGTTCGCCAGATTGCCTCACCAGCATTTCAAAGCCGTGGGGAGCCTGGCAATATTCTCAGAAAATAAAAGAGAAGCAGACGCCCCCACTCTAGCATGACAGTAGGACAGAGTACCCATCTGGCCACAGTTTTCTGCTCTTTCTCAGCAATTGTGGGTTGCACTGTAGGCAGTTCAGTGCTTCAGACTTGGGGGAACAATTGCTGAGTCTAGTCTGAGTCTATAGTTTTTTCTTTTTCTGGATTCAGATAATGTCAAGTAGGAGAGCACATTTTTTCTGGATGGAAATGAGAGAGAAGAAGGAAATACTATCACATGAAATTCAAATTTACTGTAAGGAGCAGAGCTGAGTTAATAAAATGGGAAATTCTTGGGAAAACAATCAGTACTCTGAAATTTGCTTTCATCTTAAAAATCAGACTGCAGCATTTCTTCCTGGGATGGAAGTTTCCAAAAAATGCATCGACAGACACCTCTAATGTAGCTGCAGCCCCTTGGACACAGCTCGCTGTCTCTTGCGCAATATTTTTAGAGACATACACCTCCTCAGAATAAGAACAGAGCTTGAAGTGTCTGTCTTTTTTTCTAAAGCAACATCGCCACAGGGGCAGTGTTTCTAAATTAAAAGTAAATAGCTTGTTTAATTAAGTGCTTCAGGAAAAAAAAAAAAAGGGAAATGCAAGGAGCAGTTGTTTGTTACAGAAATATCTGCAAACAACACAGATAAAAAGGCACACTGGGGGAAACACAAGAAGATTGAATCAGCCCAGCATATTTTTAAAATGCCATTAGAAATTAATTACAGACTGAGAAGCAAGACAAGTTGCATGTCACACATGAGCCAAAACAACCAGACACCAACACTGCAGTCTGGAAAGCCTCATCGTCCTCATGACTGTATCTCTCTCATGACTACTCTAATAGCAAATCTTTGAAAACAGCTTAAAAATAAAATGGGAGAGAGTAAATCTGAGGGGGCAGGAACACAGGATAATCTCACCAGTGTATTTTTAACAAAGTATAATAAACCCCACTAGGGACTGCTCTAATCTGTGGTGCAGGCTATCGCTCCTGAGGATCAGCTGTTACTCGGAGGTCCCAGAGGCACCTCAGGCCACTGTCAAACTCCTGGGCTCCTGCCCTAGTCCCACTGCTAGGATATGGAAGGTGCTAGACTAGGAAGCAGAAACACAGGCTCCACCAGAGCTGCGTGTTACCAAACATTTCAAGAATTTGGGGGTGGAGGAGTCAGCTGGTTCCTGCCCCAATCCTTTCCCTAAAACAGTTGTGAGTGAGCTTCTTAAAAACTAATCAAAACACAGATCAGAACTTGGGCTGCCAGATGTTGACAGCTGCATATGTTGCCAGAGATGCCGCTGCAGATTGTGTTCCACGTGAGCTGCTGGAGAGTTTCAGTCAAAGAAATACTACTGTGCAGTCAGAAAAAATAATAATAATTTTCTTTTCCTCCTGCTCTGTTTTTTCATAGCATCTCCATAATTTCCAATTTCACCATTCTCTGCTCTTGGTCTGAAGCTGGATATTGTTTTACAAACACCTGATGTATGTCCAGCCATCATTTTCTAGACTGGTTGAGTATGCACATGCCTTTACACCTGAAAGCACATCTCTGTTGAACTCATCAGATTGTTCCTCTTTTCCCATTCCCCCTTTTTTTCTCAAAGAGAAACTCCTCTAGTTCATGTCTTTTCTTGGAGTGATCTAGCACTTACTTACTAGCAGAAATACTCACAAAATCTTACTTCACTAGAATGGAGGAATATTTCCTTGATCCAACTTCCCAGCTGGACAGCAGATTGTAAAATGCAAATCTTTACTCTTTGGTTATATCATGAGCCACTAAACCCTGGAATACAGTCACCCAGAGCTTGCTTAGCCATCCTTCTCACTAGGAATATTAAACATCAGATTGAGAGAGCCTCACTGCAACTCTCAGCAAATAGTGAATAAATTAGAAAACCTGCACAGCAAAGGGAAATTATTCACTCTGACCTTATCCTTGGGATAAGAGAATTCCTTTGAATTTTGAGAGTTAAGTTACTATTGCTTTTACTCTCTGTAATTATAGATCACTGTGCTAGGAGCTGTAAAACAACATAGTTTCCCATAGGAAGGTAATAAGCTTTGGGATCAGTGTCTGTTCGGTTACCTCGCTACTGAATAGTAAAGATCTGCTTAACTTGATGCTGTTATTAAAGGCAATAAAATTATCCATTTCATGGAAATATATAACTGATTCTTACACTTTTGAAAACGTCCACGTATTCCTGAAATTTAAGATTGTTAGTTCAGAAAACAAATTATGGGAAAGTATTACATATTCTCTAGTGCTCTCCTCTTATTTCCCAATTTACAAAGCTGCTTACTGAGCCAGGGAGCTGAAGCAAGACCAGATGACCTAAAGGCCTGAATAAGCAAATAATCAGAGGCGTAGTTAAAGCGAGCATTTTGCTGGCATTGCTTCAGCTGGGTGGTGTCTGTGTTACAGCATAGAGTGGACACAAGTGCTTAGGAAATACGTTTGAAGGGTCATGATTAGTTTGTGAAGGGTTCAACAAGCCAAAATGAGGTAAATGCACATATCCTGCCCACAAGGACTAATTCTATTAGCTCAGTAAAACAACTCAACATTTGTCACAGAAGCCAGGAGTGTATTTTCTCTCCCTCTGACACATCATGATTTTTGTGAGCCACCCACAAGGTGTAAGATAAATTGGGTGGCGCATCCATGACTGATGAAGAAAGAAAAGACTTTGGGCGAGTTTACAGAGTCGCTGTGTTGTGCTCGGAGAGAGTATTTGTGTGAATGCTTGACAGATCCTAATATTTTATAAATTGAAGATGTCTCTGAAAACACCATTTACAGCTAAGCTGCAAATGGCTATTCATTGATGCTTGCGTTGCTTCCTTTACCTAAGTGAATTTCCAGCATATTCAGCAAATTGTTAAAAAAAAAAAAAAAAAAAAAGAAGCAAGGTCTCCTGCACATCATGTTTCAGCTCCCTCCTGCTAAAAAATGTTCTGGGCTATCCCCTCATTATTTACTATGTTTAAAACAAAAACGTAATATCTGTGGATGAGAAGCTGTGCCGCAGTGTCATGTCGCTATGGTCACTGCTCTTCCCATGCCCGCAGCAGCCCTGTGCGTTTGGCAGGTTTGGGGCATGGTGCAGCCACCGTTTACTCAGGGTGCCAGGCCAGCTAGGGTAGGAAGTTTGGGTATTTCTGGAGGCAGCTACAGCCAGGATGAGCGGCACCCGCAGCTGCTGCAGCCTCTGCTTCCATCTCTCAGAGGAGTCAGGAGCAGCAAAACCATCTCTAAGGATAATTGATTTTAGTCTTGTCCTGGAGGAATGGAGGAGCCATTTCTCTTCTCACCCCGGGGAGGTTTGAGCTAGCTCCCTCCGAGATGGTTTCCCTAAAGAGCAAGGCAGCGTGCCAAATTTCAGCCCAGCGCTCAAGGCAACGGCAGGGCTATTCATCACAGAGCAGTACTTTATAGGAAATTATAATGGGTACAGCCGCATCAATTAAAACGTTGCCATCTGATCGGTCCTCTTCCTGGGAAAGAAATTAATAACAGCAATATAATAAGAGAGGTTTTCGCATGCATGTGGTTTCTCACTTAATGAAATCACCATTTACAAGAATTCTTTCTTGCTGATTTAAATGAGTACTAGACCTCCCCAGGGAGCAATCACTGGAAAACCCTCCCACAGCAAGGCAAAAGTGGAGAAAAAACAGGATGAGGAAGACCACTTCTTTCATTTCCTAGTTCGTTTTCACTTCTTACTCTGTCAAAGCAGTAAATCCCTTCTCAGAAAGACTTTGGCTTCATCAATCTGTAAGTGAGTCTGGGAACATCAATACTTTTTTTTCCCCTCAGCTTGAATCTCAGCTTCATTTACCCACCCAATTACAGCTGTTGCTCATGGAAAATGGGACTGAGTGTGTAGACAAGCTTAATTATCCACTGGCGTGTGTCATCCATGGAGAGTTGTGAACAGTGTGCAATTGTGCATGCACACCCTCCGAGTCTGGCAATCTGTCCCCCAGATAGCTGCCAGAACAAATCTTTGCCATTGCACGGGACTGCTGCACGAAAAAGAGATCCCTCCCTTCCCTGCTGTCTCTGGAGCTAAATTAAAATACTGTATTCTGGAATAAAGCACCAATAGTCTTACTAAGTTTTAATCCTGATTAAACATTAATAATCAGCCTTTCGTCTCTGTGTTCCCAGGTGAAGGAAGACTGGAAGTATGTTGCAATGGTCATTGACCGAATCTTTCTCTGGATGTTCATCATTGTGTGCTTGCTGGGAACTGTTGGTCTCTTCCTCCCACCCTGGCTGGCAGGAATGATCTAAATATAACCCCAGAAAGAAGAACGTATAACCCACTCTATGGGTTTTAGCTCACCTGGAAGGAGATGAGCAGAGGAATGGAGACAGCCTCTTGAATGATTTACCGGGTGCCTGCATATGAGTTGTTCCGGAGCACTCTGGGAACACTCTCTGAGGTTTCATCATTTTGCCAAGCCATTTTCATCTCCTCCATCTAAGTTAGGGGAAAAGTTCTTATTCAAGTTTGTACATAGCATAGTGGCATTCATTGACATATATTCAGCAATGTGAAAGCATGAGCGTGTTCCCTACAGCAGTATATACAGAGGCTTTGCACCAGCCAGCCCCTGCCAAACTACCTGCACTCATCTTCAGAGGTCATGGTGTGCCCTGTCTAGTAAATTCGCCCCATCGAGCTGATATGGTCCAGGACTGTGTGTCCCTGTATGTGTCATTTTATAAATAAAGTTCCAAATTTGGGATTCCTGTGCAGGACATGGCCTGTGCTTTGAAGGTAATATCAAACCATGCTTGGTGGTCCCTGAGATCAGGCAACCTGGGCTGATCAACTTTCAAACAGCCGGTAAAACTAAACAACAGAGACAAAAATGGGCAAGCAGGGTCTGAATCTGCCATCAGCCTCAACTGGTGAGAAAACCACTTAGAAGATGCTATTTTAATAGGCAGCTTCAGTAAGAGCATCTTTTGGGGAAGGCCAGATTTACAGATTAATCAGAGAGAAAGGAAGGCCCATGGTTTTATCAAAGTACCAGCAGAATTGTTTTTGACCCCTCCTAGGCAGCATGAACAAGTGACACCAGCCTTGCCGGTGCAGACAAGCCCACTCACGTGCTAACCTGCTCAGGGAGCAATATGGGCTGCATCAATTACCTCTGACAGCACAGCCTGTTAATGAGTAATTTATTACAGAGATTAGAGTGTTTTCTACCATTCCCAAATATGTGGATTCTCTGGCCACTATGAAGTTTATTACTAGGCAGCTGTAGCTAGCACGCAGCTTTGGAAAGTACATGCAAGGAGAGGTGGGCAGCTGCCTGGTAAGCAGTGCAGAGAGGGTCCAGTACAATCCAGAGCCTGTGTTAGGTTTGATGTGTTGCACTCCTATGCGATACCCTAGGACATGAAGCAGGGTCATACTGCATGGCTCAATGGAATAATATGATTTAGAGAGGTTTACTTCAAATACAAGTTATGGTATTCAATCCAAGTGCTACAAAGCTAAAATCAGTGTAGTGATCAGCCCAGTTGACCTGCTGATCCCACTTGGTCTTCTCGTCTAAGAAGCTGCAACTGATCTCCTTCTTCACAAACTCAGCCAAGGGCTTAAAATCTGGTGGCTCATACAAACCTAGGCTGGCCAAGGCTTGGGCCAGGTCTCAGAGAACCTGTTTGGGCATGGTGGGGTGAGGGAGTCTGAACTGCTGCTGGCTGTTCTCTGCTTGTTTCCAGAACAGAGAGATTCGTAGTCTTTGGAGATGCTAATTTATCCCTTTTCACAGTCACTGAGTTTGCTTATGACAACAAAAGGAAAACAAACAGTCAAACATCTTCAAGGTCTAGTGCATAAATGTACTAACGCAGCTGCAGCCTGCCCTGCCACAGCTGCGCTCGGCACGGTGATGGGGCCGAATTACAGCTTGTATTCCAGGCAGGCCAGGCTCACAGAGGCAGCCTGGACTCTTGGCAGTGGCTTTTCACATTTCAAGTGCATCGATAAAATATTCACAAGGGCAGGAGGCATGCTGATCCTGGGTAGAGCTGGGTCACAGGCGTCATAGCTCCCGGCTGCAGCCAAAGCCATGCTTGGCTCCCTGTGCAATCTCCTCCTCCTGCGAGCAGTGATGACAACGGAGCAGGTGGGCAGCTTGAATGTGCAGGTACGTTTTTAGGCTGTGCACAGCAAAGGGCCCATCTCAGCTCACAACCTTTTCTGCAAAAAGTTATTAGCAGTTCCACCCCAGCGCACACAGCGGGAGCCCCAGCACCTCCAGGGGATGGTTGCACTGTTATAGCAAGTGAGCAGGCCAGACTGGCAGGAACACAAAACCGCAATTAACTGCCTTGGCAGCACTGCCCTGCCGTGCCAGAGGAGGAAGAAAGAGCCACACACTTCTGCTCCATCAGCACCTCAAAAGCAGTGCATGATTAGGAGTGCCAGGGATGATGATGTGTCCCTGAAGACTCAGCACCACTGTGGGGTCACAAAGTTTGGCAGAACAAGATGAGAAATAACAGCCGAAAACTGTTACAAAGATCCTACTGCTATTTGGGGAGCAGCTCAGATAATGCTGAAAAGCCTCCAAGAGGTTCCTAATGCTGCTCGCTGACTTCCTCTGTTTTGCTAACATTGTAAGATTTCTCATAAACTGGCAACCCCATTTCTTTTCATGTGGCGTTAGCATTTCCCCATTTCAGCCACCTCTTTGCTGAGATTTGAAAAAGTACATTCCAGCAAGACTTGCTGAGCGCCTGCTCACTCGCACACTACTTTTTTCAGCTCTCAGCTTTTTAACTGGTGGTATTGGCATCAGGCAAGATATGGAAGAGAGAGGCAGGCTTCTATCCTCAAAGTCCTTTAAGAAAGGAACGGGACAATCTTAAAAACATAGCCACCTCTACAAACCTCAGAAATAGCCTTACTGGAATAAAACTGGAACATGAACTAGGCTATAACTATAGAAAAATGAATAATTCTGCTATTCTAACCCCCTTGCTCCGTAATGGCTAAGATGAAACACAGAGAGCTTTTAGCATGTGAAACACTCTAGAAAGATGTATGCAGTCAGACTGTTAATATTTGTAACCCTCCCAGCTCAGAAGTGATTCCCATCACTTGGTTGGCCAAGTTAATATCAGGAAAAGAGTAAGGAACCAAGGGTGGTAATAAAGCTGCCTTAGAAGAGACGCAACGCAAAGTAATGGGTGCTCAGGATCAGGAAACGGAAAACTGAGCCAAAAGACCCCAAAGGCACCACAGTGGTTCACACTTTCCCACCAGCCTAACTCCACTGACCCCAGCAGAACCACTGTATCATGAAGGCAAGAAGGACAAAGGCATAGAAACCTGACTGTAATAACCTAAATTACCACCATTTTTCTAGTTTTCCCTTTTTTTTTTCCCTACATTGTCTTCCTTCTGATTCCATAATGCTCAGCTTGTCTGGGTCATTTTTCCAGTCATAAGACACGCAGGGTACTCTATCTGCCGCTGGCTGTTAGGACAAGCTATGTAACCCCCCCTTGCCCTAGCCATTTGGGGGACTCTTCCTCACAATAGCATATCATCTTCTGTGGGCTGATCCACATAGCTTGTACCACCTCCCTTTTGCTTAAGTTTCTCTCTAGACAGTTATCTAGAAACAGTACTCAAGGAAATCCACTTGCCTAGAGACAGACAGACGGACAGACAGACAGACAGACAGAAAGGTCGATGGATATATAAGACAGGTACAGCGCTAAAGAGAGAATCTTCTATCACAGCCTCACTTGCCTAAAAATTCAAATTCATTCAAATTTCAGGACGAGAGGATGGAAATTTTAAAGATATAAGAAGCTAAAGAAATGATATCAGATTGTATCTTTTCACTGTGTGAAAAGAAAGTCTCTATAACACTGATTATATGAGGACAGTGGTAAGAATGAGCAAATCAGGACAAGGGACTTTAGTAAAGGCTCAGCAAAAGGGATGGTAAATAATCTCATTAATTTGTAAAGACGAGGAGACGGCAGGTATCTGTGGGATTTCTCAGGGACTTGTTAAACTCCTGGTTTATCAAGAAATCAGGCTTAAATCCCAAAAAATTATGGCCAAACTCTTTATTTGGGGTGATTAAAGCTTTGAGAACAAAGTCCCTGCTAGGAAAAGATCTGCATGGGAATTTTTAATACCTAATGCGTGGCACTGTTTTCAACTGCAGTTTACATGAAAAGTGATAAATTGGGCCAGAAAAGTACAAAGCGTACTAAAGAACAGTTCAGCCGGGGAAAATGACAGGTTGCGCTCACCAAAGGGAGCACGAGAAACTAATATTCACAAACAGACGGTTTCAGGACTCACTGGCAGAGGAGGGAAGGGCAATTCGGGCTGGGCAGGGACCCCGCAAGCCGCTCTCTTGCCCAACTACCGCGGCCAGCATGCATGCCGCCGTCTCCGCTTTCCCCGCACCGTACCTGCCGCCTGGAGCACCCCGCAACACCGCATCCACCGTCTCCCCTCCCCAGCAAACCTCTGCTGCTCTCGCCCAGCGCTCTTCCCCTGCTCTGCTCCGCACCGTGAAACGCCGCAACGAACCTGCTGCAAAGGGCTTTGAACATCCTTGCAGTGACAAAAAAAGCAAAGAAATGTTTTTTTTCCACGGAAACTGGTATGTATATATACTAGTCAGATCACAGTCATGCAGTTCAATTTAATTAGGGGCTGATGTTTCTCCAACCACAGAAACGTTCTCTTTTCGCTATTTAATAGTGTGCAAAGTTTAATGCTGGATTAGGACATCTCAGTGCCTGAAACCTCCCAAAGGAAAGGCTCCTGGATTCAGAGTGATGGGGTTACAACACGCTTGCACGTACAGTCACTCGCAGCACTGTTGTGTGAGTGCTTCTTGATGAGTGAGGTTCCTAGTTATGTCATGTAGATGCCTTTAGATGCACTCCAAATAATCGCAGTTTATGCGGTCTCACACAGTGGGACGAGCGTTTCTTTCCAGCGTAGCAGGGGTAGCACAGGGGGCTTGTGCTGAAAGCAGGGAATGCCACTTTGGCTTCAGTGATCACAACATTTTGGGGACTTCATCAGTCCTAAGCCCGGCTGCCTCTGAAGGGGAGGCTCTGGCAGTTACTTCAGTGGCGGTCATTTAGGAGTGGCTGAGTTTTTGCTGCTGATGGACGTCTGGGGTCTGGGGTAGCTAAGTCTAAAGAGACGCCGCCGTTCCTCGCTGGCCCAGGACATCTAACAGCAGGGAGGTGGCACCACTCGTTACTTGTCACTCTGCTCTGTTCCTCAGGAGCACCCTGGACTCGTCATGCCCTGCAGGGAGTCCTCCCACCTGGGCAAGGAGAGCAGCACGGCTTTGTTCTTCCACTTTTTCCATCGCTTGTACCAAAAGCCCCATGTTCCTTCCGCAGAATTAGTTTTTCTCCAAACCACTTGCAAAAAGATTGTCTTATACCTACTACTTTGCATGGCTGACGGTGGCCACTGGGCTCCTGCCTGCCTGTTTTAGCCAAGCATCACCATTCCTGCACGGTCCTGGGCTGATCTACAGTTGCACACACCAACTCCAGGCTGGACGAAGGCAGATCAAAGACATGGGTGCCTGCACCAAGCAGGCCTCAGGCACAGCCGCCCACCGTGGACACCCCAGGCAGGGCACCGTCCTAGCCAAGCGATAAGTTGCCAGTTGCTGTATCTGGGTGAGCAGCTCGAAATTCTGCAAGTACCAGTTCCTCCAGCTGTGTAATTGCCACCTTAACCACCTCACAAGTAGTTTCCGATGGGAGCTAGGAGTTTCTGTCATCAGATCTTCATGCCTGTATTTTTCCTGAATTTTTTCTGCTTTTGTGAACACACAAAACTTCCAGGTTCTGTTCAAGGGGAAAGTTTTGAATCAATGATACTAGATGGACTAAACATCCACGATTTCAAGTAAATAAAACCACTCACGGGGCAAAATTTAGGAACATAAGTGGACAAATTGTTTGTGCAGGTCATCTTTCTCCTAGTCAACAGCCCTGATGGGACTGGGTTTTGTTAAAATCTGACTCTTGCTGTTGTATCTGAAACAATCAGACAAAAGCTAATGTCACTTGAAATTCTACTTAATAGATTAAATCTCAAGTCAGGCAGTGAGACTATGTTAATAACTTTCAAAAATAAAGAAAAAAGAAAGAGCTCTATGTCAAATAGCCTGCAGGTACTAGCTTTACACAGACAGAACAGCCAGTTCAGGACTGGGAATCTGGCTGCACTGATTTAAATGAGAACGGAAGCAGAATCACCTGCCAAATGCTGATGCCATGTGTCAAAGTACTTATTTGATCCAGTATGTGAGTGTTTTATGGGCCCAACTTTAGAGTTCTGCTGTGCAAAGAGCACCTCTTTTACCTCCCTGCTTTTTCTTCCCACTGCTTTGTGCTTAAGAGTTGCCACAAGTATTGACTTTTATAACCAATGGTACACACAGAAACATTCTGAATGCAACTTAACATAGGTTTGTTAGATCTATTTTCAGAACGTCTTTAGTTTTCAAGGAATAGGAAAGACAAAGATCAAAAGCTCTCTGACCTATACAAATGGAAACATATAACTCCTCAACATGTATGCAGGGGGTCTATCCCAGTGAATACATCTGCTTTAACTACTGCATTCACAACATGCTGTGTATTTTAGCTCTTCTGACCTCTCCTTTCTTCTGCCTGGAGCTTTTGTCTGTGGCGATACTTAAATCTAAGCTGGAAAGATTTCTGTTTGATATCGTAAGGCGAGTCTGCAAAGCACCAATGTGAACAGAAATTTTACTTCTATCAGTGTGGTATCTCTTTGCACTTCCCTGCATTTACCAAGGGGAATACATCATATTGAAAATATTCATCATTGGGAGTTTTTAGAGAAATAACATGGCCTAAGCCAAGAATTACTTTAAATACTCACAGATTGTGGTAATCACATGTTTACGTGACTCTTGTAGTAGGATTTATGACTCCCGAACAAGTCTGGTATGTTCAGAAACCGCCGTTAGCAAAATTTCTGAATTCTATAGGATTTTTACTTGATGACAAAAAGAAACAATGTTTGGATGCAGTGTCCAAACAACTTAGTTTTCTTAAGGAATATGTTGCTCCACTGGGCGTTTGACAGTCTGATTTCTAAATCTGGACTTACTTGGAGTTAAGAATTCAAAAGTTGGCTACAGCCATGTGAATACACAGCTACCAGTCCACACACAGCTACAGAAATTGCACATCCCAATTAAGTGCACAGGAATATGAATCGTGCTCCATTTTTTGCCTCTTAGCATCTTTGAAAATCTGTACTGCTACTTTTTGCTCCATCCTGTTTTTACAAACATGAAATATTTCATTCACAGAATTTGGCAGCAGGGGAAGTTTACAGCCAGCATAACTGAGCACAGTATAAAGCAGCAATGCAAAGAAGCAGGTGCGTTTTATCAGTATCTGTTCAGTTTGTTGTGAATACATATTAGACTGGAGCTCACACAAGGAGAAGGGTGGAAAATGGCAATTACCTCCATGTCATATGTGTAGAAGTCAGACTCAGAGCTATTCAGTATTTTACCTGATAAAATGTAAAGTAGCTAGCAAGATTGCAGGAGGCAGAGATGGAAAAGGCCGGGAGGTTAATCTCCGGCTCCTCTCAGTACACGATTGTGCTCTGTCTGATCTAAGGTTTTGCTTGGCAGATATCAAGCCCCAGAGAGCACAACTAAACGGTGGCGTTTGTCACATCACAGGAAAGGTTATCACGCTGTCTGCGGTGCTTCTGTACATAATGCCACTGTGAGGAAGCCATCAGCACTGAGCCAAAAGCAGAAACAGTCAAAATGGTGCTAGATTTTATTACACTGTCAGCCAACAGAGAAAACAGTTTTGCTCCAGTGGATTTGCATCTTTGGGTATGAGGTGCTGTTTTTGCCTACACTGGGAGATCCACAGTAACATGTACCAAAAATAACCACAAACCGGCAAAAATCACCTATGTTATTTCCGAGCATTTCAATACTTTTTTTCTTTTTTTTACAAGTCTATCAACCTGCACCTCTGACCATGTCTTTGCTTTGTGTGCAACACACAGTGTGAATTTGAACGCTGCAGTTGTTTGATGCTGATCAGGAAAACAGACAAGGATGACTGGAGCTCATCTGCATGCAGTCTGGTTTGGTGCCTCTAGTGTTTGATTGACACGTCCTTACAGAAACGATGGGAGATTTAAAAAACAAACAAACAAACAATGCATTTGGTGTTCAGTTGCTGCTTCTCTTGGAGTATGTGGAGCCTTCACCCAGAGATTGCCAGGGCGAAGCACTATCCTCAGCTGCCTCTGCATCAACCATCAGGGGATGAAATCTGTGTATGGAAACATGTGATGATGCCAGTGAACAACAGAATAAATCAGTCTCAAGTACTGAGGAGGAGGGTGCAGTTATTCCTTTTCCCTTCCAAATCTTTTGTCCAGCACAAGTGATTTTCTTTATTTTATGGAACCTTGCACAGTCAAGCCTCTCTGAAATATATACGTAGGAACCGAAATATCGGTCCTCTCTATCCACCACTGAAATATCTCCGGGGACGTTAAGAATTGAAGATACACTCATGATCATTCCTTATACCCAGCTGCTACTGCAATTAAATATATTAATCTATGAATGGTGGAAACCGAGCAGCCAATTCAGCTGGCTTTTGTCCATGTGAATAGACTAACTGCATGTTAATCATCCAAATTGCTTTACAAAGGAAGCTCTTGCAGGACTTACAGTGCCTGAAGGATGAAGGGACTCTACCTAAGTTTAACAGAAGCAACCAAAGAGATCAGTTCTGAAATCATAACTTTTGCATTAAGATAGTCAAGACTTACCTCTTCTACCTGTCCCAAAACATCCAGAGATATCACAACCCCCTGGATATCCAGGCTGTCCAGGATGCCCTCTGACACCAGGAAAACCTTGAGGACCGGTGTTTCCAGGGGAACCCTTTGGACCTGGTTTCCCCAGCACTATTTCTCCTGGTGGGCCTGAAGAAGGAGAAGCATTATAAGCAGTAGCGCATCTACTTCAGTTGGTCGAGTGTAACATCCATGCTATACCGCCTCTATCCTACGTGTCTGTTAATTATCTGAGTATTGTTTCCTCTTTTTGGTGGAAGAATTAGACCTGCCAGCTGGAAAAAGCTCTTCTGAATCCCAGTAACTAGAAGTCTTATCATTAACTTTACGGTTGTCCAGCTCGCCTGAAAATTGAGCCTGTTTATGAGAATCCAAAGTCTGCCTATGTGACAACGCAGAAAATCACCTTAATCCCAGGCTCCATCTCAAAGTCATTGGTTTTGTGTTTTTACATCTCATCTATAAAAATCTGTATACACAAGAATATGTTTGACCATACTCCCCTGTTAGTGCCTGGTTCGTTAAGGCAGTGATAAACTTCCCACTGATTTCAGATAAGAGGGATCAGGATGGAAGAATACACCAAAACCTAACAGATTACTCAAAAGCCCATGTGTTTAAGGAGTTCAATTTGTAACGAGTTTCTATCACTTGACTGTCTGGCCTTGCTTGCACAAAGCCAGAAAACTAAAACTCCCTGGATATGCCTCAGGTCATTAAAACACATCATTGCCTGGTATGTAGGCACTGAAGCTGAGAACGTCAGCCTGCACACTGCAGCTGTGTACCAAAGGGAGAAGGCTGTTTGGTACAGGTAGATCCTTATATCTTAGCAGAGAGGAATTGCAGCAGCTAACAGTACCCTTAAGCTGTTTGATCCAGGATGCTCATCGGTGCCTTCAGCTCTGCCAGCAACACCGCAATGGGAAGGCCAGTCTGCTCACCACAACAGTCCTAAGGCTGAGTGATGCCTTGAATCTGGCAACTGGGAGGTCTGGATCACCCCATGGTTGATACAAAGAGGTTTATTCACTCTACCTGTTCTGCCTCTGGGTCCTTGGATTCCTTCCTCACTGGCTCCAGACATCCCTTTTTCACCCTTGGGCCCTGGCGCGCCTAATTACAGATAAGAGACAAGTTTCACGTACCTGCATTTTGCATTTCACCCTGAATTAAAGCTCCTGCAGTCTCCCCACTCTGCTGTTCTTTGCTGTTTAAGAAGCACAGGATGGTTGCAGCCTTTGGTAAAATAGTCAAACATCTATTTCCTTCAATTCTGTCTGTGCACCACAGGGCAGCCTAGAGAATTGTCCCCTGAGTATTATCAGACACCCGTATATTCAGTTTGAGGTTTAGTGGATATTTACTGGTACTGGAAGACCTCTCTGTTTGTGGCTACGCACACCTGGTCCTTCTAAGCACAGTGCAGCCTATACAGTCCAGGTTATCAGCAGGTGTTTAACACATAGGCATACATTTTTGCTCTTGAATCTTCCTCTAGTGACCACAGGGAAATGTCTTCTTAATCCAGGTCTGTATTTCATCCCTGAAGTTCCTCCTCCCTGGTTCATCACTTCTCTCAGTCAGTGTTCATAACTGTCTGTTACCATCTCCAACTGTCTTTTCCAGAATGACCAGTTCCCCAATTCATTTAATTGCAGCAAGGCTCCAAGCAGCATTGACTTGCAGCCCAATATGGGTGGAAAAAAAGAGATTTTTTTGCAGAGAAATTCATAATGCTGGTGTTAGTGCAGTAGCCTGAATATAAGGTCCATTCCCCACTGTTCTTCACATTGCTCAGACAAATCACAGAGCTGAACAGTCTCTTTCTCCAGCTACTGGCTAAGTTAGGTTTGCAGTTTTCTCATGAATTTGCTATCAAAAACTAGTACATTTCAGCAAAACATGTGCATTTTGACAAAATATCATTTCTCATATTTGTAAGATGCAAATGCTTTGATCAGCTCTGTCCTTAAGAGTCTTTTTCAGTGAGACCCATCTCCTCCCATCTCCTCACTTGACAGGCTTGAAACATCTGCACGTTGTTACTTTCCTTTTTCTCTTAAGTAACACTTTGATAAGTTCTAAAGATCACAGCTAAAATAGAATAACACCAGGGGAAGGATTAAACAGGTCTCTAGCTATTTATAGGTGTTAGGCCACCACGGAAACCAATACGTTCGACTTTATTTTGACATTTACCTGAGCCTCTAACAAATGTCCTCAAATCCAAACAAAACATATTCCCATCATTCACTCATACAGTCATTCTTGTGCAGTAACTGGAGCTACTTTTTGTACCACTGCATACTTGCATCAATATTTGAGACACGTTTCTGAACAGGATCCTCTCCTGTTTTGAATTTACATACAAGGACTACTCCAGCAGTTCAAAATCTTCCATCATTTTGCTTTTGGTAGCCACATCTGCATGTTCCAGCTGGTTTCCTTAGTTTCATTAATATCTCTAAATTTACCGTCATTTTCTGGAGCATCTAGGTCCTCCATCACTAAACAGACAATAGGTTTGGAAATGTGTTGAGCCTCTGAAAACATCTTACAGTGAATTTTATTACATAATGATATATGAAATGGCAAAGTTTGAAATCTAGTGTGACACAGTGGGCAGCCAGCCTAATCAGGATTTCTGTTTTGAGAGCCATAGTTAAATGCTATATCTTTTTCAGTCTAAGGGAATAATTTCCCTGAAAGCATCAAGACACTATTTTTATTTTGAATAACTTTTCTCAACCCCCAGTTGCCGACCTTCGCTTATTCTCAGGATTTTGAGATTATATTAATCCACTTCTTTTAGTCACACGTGAGGCTTTTGTTGTTGGAACTATTGTTCCAGAAACCTACTTCCACCATCTGCATTACTTCAGTTGCCTCACGCCTGCCTTCAGCTTTTGCCAAGCGTTGTCATTTCTACCCAGAGGTAATCCGGTCCACTGCCACACTGTTCATCCATATGAGTATTTCTTTTGCCTTTCTGTAAGGAAAGCATCCAGTCCTCTAAAATCAAATTTTCCATCCCCCCAAGTATACAAAAGGTAGCAAACTGGCATTCTTCTCAAAGCAGAGCTTGCAAAAAGAGTGTGCTGCGTTTGTTTTCTCCCTACCCTTTGACCCATCTCACTTGGGCTGCTCTATTTGCAGTAAAAACTCTGCTGGAGCTTTCCAACAAGATTAGGAAAGGCCCTCATGGAAAGACGATATTTACAAATACGTATATGCATAACTGTACTTTCAACTACTTTGGTTTGTCTCATCTGCCACTTCACGTAGATAGCACTAAATAAAAGGGTTCTTCTCGACATCGTGATGAGTCCAAGAGGAAAATAGGAATGAGATGAGATAATCTCATGACATATTTTTACTGCTTGCAGCACTGAAGTGCTTAGTTAAAGTATTAAATAAGTGGTAAAATATGCTTAAGAACACTTCTATTCATACCTCTTTCTCCAGGATATCCATCTTTGCCTGGCTGTCCAGGGATGCCGTTTTCTCCTCTTTCTCCATTGCTCCCAGGGGGCCCTGGAGGACCGGGTGGTCCTGGTTCTCCCGGTTTTAATTTTTCTTCCCAAACAGGAACTGGTTTCCTTGCATGTTCATGAATGAATGAGTCAAACTTCAACACATGAGCTGAGAAAACAAGCCAGAAAATGAATATTTGCTTGGCCAGGAACTCAGAAAAAGGGACAAAATCAGAGGATGTTGTCTAAAAAGGCACTTAAAAGTATCAGGTAGTGCTAAAAGGTATCAGTCTGAACTGAAAAAGCCAGACGCTGAAGAGGAAGACTGGCAGCTGAGTCATGATTTTGGTATCTGACCTTGGGCAAACTGTTTCATCTCTTTGTGCATCACAGCACAGGAACTTTTCTACAAATGCCTCATCTCAGGAGGGATCCATTCGATGCCTCTTGCTTTTAACACATGCTGCAACTCCGTTCAGGTGGAACCCCTCTGAGCTAAGCGTTCCAGATTAAATACGTCTCCAAAAACAGGCACCCGCATTTTTTTTTTTCTGTTGCATGAGGTGAATCATTTATTCCATACAAATCACTGCAGTTTTCCCTGAAAGGATCAAGTTTCAAGCTGAATCTCTTTCATTTGAGAAAAAGTAGTCTTTGCAAGGTGCGAAAGGGATTTCCTAAGTAATACTTCACGGGTCTTTTTTCCAATAACTACCCAATAAAAACAATGTAGCGCTGACAAGCTGGCCTGGGACGCTTGCTTTATTGGTGCTTAGCACAGCGCAGGATGGAGGAGCTCTATGGATCACTACAGCTTCAGGCTCTCTCCCCTGTAGTATTGTTCGTGCCTCACCACTGCTCTAGAGGCAGCACAAATTCAGGAGCTGGGTTGGTTATACTTACTTTGAATCATCCGCTCACAAGCCTGGCTAACTAGCTGGTAAATTGTGGCCAGGGATTGTGGTTCCCCCTAAAGTGAAACATATTTTTTTTAAAAAGGAAGTATTAATGTAATCAAAACAAGATCAATATCATAATGCAGGATATCTATCTGCCCGTTCCTCTTGTCAGCTTGAGTTAGAGATATTCATTACTATGAAATGCAGCTTTATTTATTTATTACAAAGCTATGAAGCCATAAAATTCTAATTGGGAAATGTCAATAATTGCTTTTCTCCTGCACATCAAAAGGGCTAGACTGGATCTATGTAATTTATGAAGCTACCAAAAAAGGAGAATAAATTTCACTTTCAAATTTATCACAAAGGATTCTAAGATTGTGTGACCTATAACTCAAAATCCTGTGATATGTAAAACATTTAATACGATCAAATATTACAATATGCTATCTTTGTCTGCACCTTTTATGAATATTGATTCTTACTGTTATTGTATTCTGAAAAAATGATATCAGGGGTTTCTACAGAAAGTTTTAGTAGAGCAAGAAAAAGCAATAAAAATGCAAAAATATTTCTTGAAAATAAACACTGACTCTATCTGTGAAAATTCATAACTAAAACATTGCATCTCTCCAAAGCCATTTATAAAACATACATCTCTGTCTGGATCAATGTGCAGACGCACCCAAAATTAAACAAAAGCTTGGCACAACACCCAAGGGAGGAAAAAAAACAAACAGTTTCATTGCAAAAGTAAGTATACAAAAAGGAAAAGCTGGTGGAAATGCAAGGAGAACAGTGTTAAAAATTACAATACTGAGGCGTTAACTTGAAATTAAAGCGGTTTTTAGCCTCAAGGAGATCTGCAAAAAGTCTCAGAGATTAAAAGGAGGATTCATCTCACATAGTTTTGGGAGTGTATGTCTGCAATTTGAGCCAATCCTCAAGGCACCCAGACAGGCAGGGAAGGGTAATAGGCGCTAGAGGACACGTTTCCTCTGACTTATTTCTTTCTGCTTTCAGGTGAGAATCATGTTCTAAGCATACCTATTTTTCTCTATTGGCTATAAAGGTAGGCAGGGGAGAGGAGCTCACATACTTCTCCAGTGTAGAGATCTGCTTTGGCCTGATGAAACACCCCCAAAGTTTCTGAGGGTCTAATCTGAAACCCACTGAAGGGGGCAGCTGAAGGTGAACCACTGATGCTGGCTTCTCAGCCCCATCCTAAACGGGGAAACATATCACTGCGCATGCCACAACTGCACCTGCAGAGCAGCTTGGTCTTTTCTCAGGTGTATTTTATGAACCATCAGCTATATGGAGGTGCAAAGGATGCACAAAGCCACTCATGATAACAGCAGTCTAGGAACAGGCAAGTAACAAAGCATAGACTTTTCAAAACATCTCAGGTGGCAAAGTCCCCTGGACTTCCGTACAGATTTGCACACTGAACTTGCTACAGTTTATAGGGTTAACTGGGCTGTAGTAAAGGCAATGTTCATCTTTTCAATCCACCTCAAATGTAAGGGAAGACACATCAGGCTGTTAATACCTCGTCATCTTTAAGCCAGTGCCTATTGCTCTGTGTCTGAGTTAGGCTCAGAGCACATGCATGGTTAACTACCTGGGCTCAGCTGGCATGTGCTAACTCATTACACAGCACAGCTCTCCCCCGCTTAAAGCCTAATTCACATAAGTCAAACCCGGCAATGAGACTTGGACTCCCAGAAATATACAGGGTTTCTTTTTAACCAAAAATCACGATAAGAAAAATTTTCTCTCACAATTAAATAACCTTCAAAGGTAGTATAGATTCCAACGGCTCTGTGCATGAGCATGCCAGAGATTTATTACAAATGAGTCCCCTGTTATGCAATACATTAAGAATGAACAACTGAGCGAAGCCAAGTGATTTTGCGTTTTCCTTCCCAGCAAAGAATGGATTTTCAGTCGGCTTTTTTTTTCATTACTACTACCGACAATAAACAGCTGCGGACTCCTATGAGATTATATATATCCCACCAGAAGAGCCAGTGCAGGAGAACGGAAAGGCAATGAATTACAGCTACATTAAGTTATTCAATACCAAAATGGTCTAAATATGCAAGCATAACTTGTGAAGCAGATTACCACATCCACTCTTTTGAGGCTAGGATACAGTGACTGTGTTGCCTAGTGCCCAAAAAACTCACTTTCTCTCCTCTTTCTCCTTTTGGACCTGGAAGCCCCTGTGAAAAAGCAAAAGGA